CGCTTCATTTTGTAGCGGTGGTTCTGGAACCAGATCTTGACCTGCGTGGGGGTCAGGTGGATCATGCTGGCCAGGTGCTCGCGCTCCGGCGCCGACAGGTACTTCTGTTGCTTGAAGCGTCGCTCCAGCTCGTACACCTGCGCCTGCGAGAAGAGCACTCGGCGCTTCCTGCGCGGCGCGCTTGGCAGCGGGGCCATGTTCTTGCTCACGTCCCCCAGCGAGCCCAGGCCGCCCATGCCGCTCATGTTCATGCCGCTCGCCGGGCCCATGAAGCGGGAGACTGTAAGCGACAAACGCACAGCGTCGGCCGGGGCCAGGCCGAGCCAGGCCACCCCTGTTTTCCGCGCCATTGGCCCGCCCGGCCCGCCCCAACCCGACGGCGCCCTCCTGACCCAGGCAGCCTAGCGCTGGGCCCCAAGAGGCCCATCCGCGGGGAACTGCCAGCGCCTGCCCCAGGCCGTGCCGTCGAGGGCTGCACTAGAGCGCTCACAGCCTCAACCCTGGTTGCCCTCCCTCAGTCTCAGTTCCCTCTTTCGAACCAAAAGACGCATTGGGGGAAAGGCCGTTTCTGCTCCTTTCGTGCCCAGCCCAGGTCAGAGCAATGGGATTAGCTGGCCACAGGCGGCGAACTGGGCTCAGGCAGGGAGCTGGGGTCCGACGGTAGACCCCAATTTGGAGAGGTTAGGAAAGGGGGTGTTGAATTCCAAAAGCTGGAGCCCCCAGACGCTTTGCCTCTTGGCTTCTCTCCTGTCGGCCTCAGTGAGGGCACCTGCTCGGCCCCTTAGAGTCCCCTCTGGAACTGCGAGTCCTCCCACCTGCCCAGACTCCGCTGGAGAGAGGGCCGGGACGGGCGCTCGAGTGCCTCCCAACAGGGCAGCCTCCCTCCTGGCCGGGCCTAGCCTCTCCGCGCTCTGCTCGCCCCTGCTCCTTGAGCTCGGGGTCGCTTCCCTCGGCTCCCCGAGGTCTTCTGCGCGGAACAGAACTGCCAGTCCACCGCGCCTAGGAAACGCCGAGTACCCGCATCTGACCGCAGGACCCCAGCGCTACCAAGTGCCTGTTCTTGGATCCCCAGCCGAGCAGCGGGAAGCATCCCCAGCTCCCGCACCCAAGTCCCTGGCGCCGCTGCCGGGCCGCCCTCCCTGATGCCCAGCGCGCAGCCTGCCGGCGCCGCGCCTTCTGGACGGCTCTCGCCTCATCTCCTGAGCTCAGCCCGCGGCCCCGCAGTGGGGCGGCCTCACTTACTGGCGGGGAAGCGCGGGTCTGGGTTGGCGCCGTACCATCCGGGGCCAGAGGCGCTGTTCCTCATGGTGTCCTGGTACGGCGGCAGCTCGCTCATGTTGCCCAGGTTGCCGTTGCAGTAGCCCCCCACGGCGGAGTGCGAGAGCTGGGGCACCCCCGCCGCCGTCATGTGGTAGGCGGCGGTGACGGCGCCGTGGTGCCCCACGGCGTGCTGCTGCATGGCCGCGGCCGGCGGTGCCGCCTGGCCCTGCCTGTACGCCGCCAGCGGAGCCCCCAGGCCGCCGCCCTCCATGCCCACTTTCTTGTAGCTTTCCTCCAGGGGACTCAAGATGTCAGACACTGAGAACGGAGTCGTGTGCTTTGGACTCATCGACATGATTCGGCGGCGGCTGGAGGAGGAAGGAAGAGGAGGAAAAAAAAGGGAGAGGGGGAAGGCGAAGCCTCGCTGCTTTTTTTTTCTCCCTTTGCCAAATATTCTGGTGTTACCTTAACGCCGATCTTGTTGGATGTACACGTAACGGAGTGGACCGAGTCCTCCTTAATTGGCTTGAGTGGAGGCTCGGGGGCTGCCTCGCGTTTGTTTTAGCCCGGCGCCAGGTTTTAGGCAGCCACCAGAGGCGGGGCGTAAGCGCTAAAGCAACAAGACAATAGAAGCCTACATCTTGCCCGAGATAATTAGCTTACATGCTGATGACAAGGTAAACACCTTTAAGTTTCACTTGTCAGGATTTTTAGGTCTCAAAGAGAGAGAGAGAGGCAGAGACGAGACCCAAAGCATTCCCCCCTCCCTTGGACACCCCCACCCCCATTTTTTGTGGGGTACCAGCGGAGCGCGGGGAGGAGGTGGAGGGGTGGGGAAGGAGGAGGGAACCGAGAGCGGGGAGGGCAGGAGGTGGGGTGGGGGAGTAACCGAGGAGGAGAGATGGTTGGGAGGAAGGAAGGTGAATGCTGCTTTGCAACCAACTTGCGGAGTTACAAAGTGGAACCACTTTCCAATTCGGTCGGGGTTCCCCGGACATGAACAGGTCTTTAGGAGAAGAGGGCCGAGGGACGGGGTGGGGGTTTCACCTGAGCCTGCCGGGGCTGCTCCTCCCTCCCGCCGCGGCCTCCCAGCCCCGCGCCTTCCCACAGCCTCCGGACCACATCGGGCTTCGCTGCGCTGAGCCCCAGTCGCCAACAAATGAGCGAGCGAATCTGGGGACGAACCCTGGGGCCGCACTGTTGGTCTACGTGTCTGTCAGTCTGTCTGCCTCTCTTCTGCCGCCGTCAGAGGGACACCTCTGCTCCCCGCCCCCTTTCCCCCTACCCGAGAGAATCCGAGCGGGCGGAGGGGGCGCTGAGTAGGGGATCGACTGCCTCCCGGAGGCTGTCCCGGATCCCCGAGCCACCACCCGCCCCCGCAGCTCAGTGGTTTTTCAGTGGGCCACCCCCACCAACACGCCTCCCCCCAGGTCTTTCCCCACCCCCACCCCCGGCCGAGCAAACACAGCACTGGCCCCCGAGCTGGGATGATGGGAAGGGGTCTCACGGGAGGGTCCGTCACTGAAGTTGCCCCACCTCGAACAAACCTGGTGTCCCTGACCCTCGCCCATCTCCCAGACACGCGGGGTTCTGGGGCTGAAGCTGACTTTCCGAGGACATCACAGCCCCAGCACCCGAGCCCAGAACCACGCTGTTTTCCCCTCCGATGCTTCAGGGAGGGCGCGGGCAGGGAGCGGAGTGAGTGCCCGCCAGTCTGTTGCCGGGCGGAACTGAGCCTGAACCCCGGCGGCGGGAGCGCTGGCCAGGAGGGGGCGAATGCCGAGGTGCGGGAAGCTCAGCGGGCGGGAGGCTGGGCTGAGGCTCGCCTCCGCCCGCAGCTCAGCCATGCAAAAGTGCACTTGCTTCCCGGGAATAACCAAATATCTTTGTTTAAAGTGGTGGCGTAAATGGCCAGTCGCTTTGTGGCCACGCTGGATATTAGTAGATGAGGATCATTCTGCTTCAATTGGGCGCCTCTCATCCGACGAGCAAGAAACTGCTTAGGAGGAAGTGGGTTTCCTGTCTGCGCGTTCCCAGGCTTCAAGTGTGGGCCCCGCGCCTTGAGGGTCCTTGGGCGCCTGGCGAGGGGGAGCTGTGGGCTGCGATCCCCAGCGGAGTCGGGGGTGTCCCCCGCGTTGTTCGGACCAGGCCGGGGCCTGCAGCCGAGTCGACTACCGAGTGGAGCCCTGAACGGCGCGGATTTTGAGACCGACTCCGGTTTTTGTCCGTGGATTTTAAACGTTTTTATTGTTTTTATTGTTTTGCTTTCTTTTTGGTTGTTTTAGCCTCCTCTGCGCGCCGGGGGCTGGGAGGGCAGAGCGCTCCTCGGCCGGGCCCGGCGGGTACCTGCAAGACAACCGCGCTGGTCAAGGAGCTTCTCGAATTTAGTTTTTGTTTTCACATTTTCTTTCCCCTCCTTGTAGAGAGGGAGCTCCTGATGATGATGAACAGGCAGTTTTGAGCTACTTAATTCATCCAGGCTCCCTTTTTAAAATTATTAATAGCAATTATAGTAGAGAAAGTTTTATTTGTTTTTAAAGATTTCAGCCCTGTCCTTGAAGAGTGCTCTTACTCCCTCAATACAAAGCCAACGTCTATACTAACATTGGCTTTTCTCACAGCCTACCTTCTTTACCAGGCGAAAGAAAGCTCAGGGCACCCTCCGCCCTCCCATCTGCGCCCGCGTTTTTGTGCGGTCCCCACGGCAGTGCTGGGGAGGCCACTCTACGTTTGCGCAGGGAGACGCGCTCGCCGCTTGTGTTGCGAAAGACCAGCGCGAAGCCCCGCTCCTTGCCCTTCCTTCCCAGGGGCTTCTCTGGGGGGCGCTCTCAGGACCGGACGAACTGAGCATTGATTACTGTGGTGGCTAAGCAAGGAGGGGAGGCGACGCCGGGCTTAAGCGAACCACAGAGGAGAACTGGCAACGCTGAATACAGACCTTGTCTGCAGGCGCGACCTGGCCAGGCCTGCGTCCGGAATGGGGTCTGATTGCGAAGGCGGGGTGGGTTTCCCTGTCACCCAGCTTCTTTCTCTGACTCGCCATTATTTCATAGTTGTTGGTAAGTTTAAGAAACACCAAGTGTAGAATGTTGTACATCTCTCCCAGTCTCAACACCATTTAGAAATGGAGATCAATCTTCACAATGTTTTTGTGAGATTCAAGTAAGATGGAGCACATCAAAGTGCTTTGAAAGCTTTGAATGTTTTTCAGCTCAGTGCCAGCACTGAAGATTGCGGTAGTTATTATCATGACGATCCCCATCCCCTCTTTAGGTCCCCAGACCTGAGTAAAAGGAAGAGTTGGGTGAATCTTCCACAGCCCCTGGGTCTTCGTCCTTCGGCAGCTTTTCAACCTCTCAGCAGGCCACAGGCGCACGTGGCTGGCAGCTCCCTGGCCTCCGGCTCTGAGAGTCCCGGGGCAACCGGGCCTGCAGTTCTCGAGGAAACCCCCCTCCCCGTTCTGGACAAGGAACCCCCTCCCCCAAGAACCGCGCAGCAGGTGGCGAGTCTGGGAGCTGAACTGGAGCCAGGTGGCGGATCTGGGAGCTGAACTGGAGCGGAGCTCGAAGTGGCTGGGGCGGGCAAAGACTCCCGCTTCACTCTGGGACCAACTGGAACGGCGCTTCAACCTCTGCCTGCAGGGGTGCTTCTCGCGCTCACCAGCAAGCTCTCGTCTCCACCTCGCCTGGGCCTTTGCAGTGCCCTGCCGCCCAGGCTTCAGCACCTCTCCTACCCTAACCTTCTCAACGCGCGGCTCTGCCTTCTTCCCCAGTACCGCTGCACTGCCAAAAATAAGCTCGGAGACTAAGGCACCTGTGGGGAAGAGAAGGATATCTGTATCTCCGAGCTTATCCAAGCAAAGACCTCAAGAGTCCCTCCCATGGCCCAAAACACCTCTTTTTGACCGAAGAGCGTCCTTTCTTTCCGCCGCCTCCTAGACTCATGCTAAATAGGGCAGACCCCGGCTAACCAGTGATTTTTTTTTCCATGAATACGAATAACCCCGATTCCACTTCGCGAAGTCTGCGCGTCTTCCTTTATCCCGCAACTAACTTGCTCCGGGGTGGAGTGGGCACAGTGGGGAGCAGGTCAGGGCAGGGCTCAACACTGGCCCCTCACGGAGCTTTCCCTGGCGCAGCCTCACACTGTCGCTGCCTCAATTCCGACCACGCTCTGCTTCGCTGGCTGCGGTTCGACCGGGAATCTGAGGGGGCGCAGGCCCAGGATCGGCCCTAGATGCGCGGAATCGCCATCAGCCTTTGCTTACACCAGCGTGGCCACAGGGAAACTCCCTTCTCTCCCTCCAGTGTCACTTTGCTAGACAAGAACAGAGGGCTCATACAGAAGGCTAATTTGGGGTCTGTAGCTTGGACCGGGTGGAACTGAGGAGGAACCACCTGTCTCACCGCCCCACTCCACAACTGCTTTTTCTAACTCCCTTTGTGGTCCTCCACTCCTCTTTAGGGCGCTGAGCGACTCTGTCTCTTGGTAGTGTTATTTTGCTTCAAGTTTTATCACAATTTTTGATTCACTCAACAGTATTTATTCAGCTAGGGCTCTGTGCCAGGGACTACGCTAGGCCTGAAAATTCAGCCTTAATCTAGGTGCAGCTCCTACTCACAAGGAGCTTACACATTCACAATAAATCACCCAAATAGTATGTAGTTACTTTCTGACAGATGTTACTGCAGGATCCAGTGAGATAGAGAGGGTTGTAATGGAGGTTTGTGTGTGTGTTTTTGCATCATTTCTTGATCTCCCAGCATTCCAAGGTCGTGAGAGGAGCCCCTGAGTAGAAGTCAGTCCTAGGTTTGAACCCTGGCTTTGCCTCTTTCCAGCCGTGCAGTACCGCCCTTGTGGGCTCCTGCCACACCCTGGAGTCACACCCATCACAGCCAGAGTAAACCAGTGTGTGTTTTCTGGCTTCCCTCCTTGAGGGTGAGCCCCATTTTTATCTTTGAACCGCCCCCCCCCCCCCCGTGCCTCGAGAAATGCTAAGGAAACACAGCCTCCTAGCACCTGTTTCCCGAGTGTAAAAAATGGTCACAACCTGCCCTGTGTACTGGCCTGGTTTGTGCTAGGGATCCAAACAATTCAGGATAAGATCATGTGCCTGAGTTTGTAGATCACAAAAGTCGCTAACAGAAGGAGTTATTCCTTCTGATTCTGTATTTTGGATTTATAGAAACTGAATCTAGGCCTCCCACCTTCGACAAGAAGCACTTGGGCCCCTCAGTTGCTACCGCGGGTCTCCCATAGCTAGGCACAGGCTTCTAGGCCGGGCTGAGCTGGGCTCGCGAGTGCCATCGAGGCAACCAGGCGCAGGGAGCGGAAGGCAGGAGTGCAAATGGGAGCTGGGAGTCGCTGCTCCGCAACCCCAAAATCTGAGGAATGCCTCCGGGGGATGATTTCTCTCTGGAGGGGTCTCGCAGGGCCCCCTCTGCGCTGCTTTCTCAGGCACCAGAACCGAAAGCCTCAGGAGGGACCGCTGGAGCCCGGGGCGTGCAGACAGTCGGCTTTCACAGACGCAGTGGAAGGAATGATCCCTCTACTGCTCCCTCTCCCGACTTGACTGTCTAGAGTCTTTGAGGGGACTTTCCTTTTGGGAACGCTTTTCTCAAGTCGTGGCCTGTGGGCAGACTGGGAGCGGGGCGCCGAGACATCCGAGCGCGGCTTCTGCTTTTCAGTTTCCCTCACAGGCGTGCCCTGCGGAGGGAATGAGAGGCGAGGGCGCGTCTATGCGGGCCAGAGTCAGCCGAAGAGAGTCCGGCCCTTAGGCCTTTGGTGTTGAAGAATCTGCTCCTCTGTCGGGTCAAGCCCCACTAGAAGTTAACACCTGTGGTCTCCAAACTTGCCTATTCTCCTGTCACGCAGTTCAAGCCAAGATTCAACTCGTCTTGAATTTTTGTATTTAGAGCCCCTACCTCCTCCACCGACTCCAGGGGCGCCCTCTGGCGGGAAGAGGTCTGGGGTAGGAGGGAATCTGGGGAGCGGGTTACAAAGCAGAGAGCAGCGGGAGCTCAGCAGCCCCCTTTGAACTGCGATTAAACCAAGACGGAGACGGGAGGTGGGAGCACGGGCCTGAAACGGTCAGGCGACCCTGCGAGGCCCAAGCTGCAGCCCTTCGCGGCAAATCCGCCAGACGCCCCCGTCGGAAGGGGCGGGGACACCCTCCGGGGCGCTCTAGGGCTCGTGAGGCTCTAAGGTAAGTTTCGCAGCTGCTCCGGATAATTAAAGGACAGATTCCGGAAGTATCCTGGTGGCGGCGCGGCTGTTTTCGCCCCAGGACCTGTGCAGCCTCATTTAGCTTCAGGTAGTCGAAACCTACAGCTCTTTCTGCCCCCCATTCCCCAACAGATCTCAGGCCCAACAGTGTGAGCCCCTGGGCCTTGGGTGTTCGCGTTTCCCGCGGGCTTGCCAGCAGCGCTGGGGTTCCCTCCTCCGCTCCTTTCCTCCTCTCCAACCTCCCACCCCAGCCCGTCTCCCCGACACCCCCAACACTTGTCCCAGGCAGTTTCTGGTGGCCGCAGTACCGATCCCAGGCCAGTGGGATGGGGGTGGGGAAAGGGTGGAGGGGGAATCTCCGAGGCCCAAGGTTTCCTGGGACTTGACAGAGGCTGGATTCCCCCTCGCTGCCTAGGACTTGTGGGCTGAAGGTTGCAGACCGAGGCGAGCCGCAGCGCCCTCTTCCGGCCGCCGTCTGGAGAACTGCAGCCTTAGAGCGGTCTCAGGGAAGCTTTGCTACTAGGTCCCGGGCTAGGGAAAACTGGTAGTGGTCAGAGACTGGTAGTACATCCTCCACGCATTCGCTCATTCTAACTATCCACCCGACCATATGTCAGGCAGTCTCTTGGTCCACCCAAAGCCAATATAAGTTATGACTGACTCTTTGGATCATCCAGTCGGCTTGCACCTGCTATTTGAAAGAGCCCAGGTGTAG